AAGTGGGAGAGGGGGCTGAGGGGGGGCAGGCAGAGAGTTCAGCATCCTCACGGCCTGATGGACGGAGCTGTTCCACAGTCTGCTGGTCCTAGAACTGAGGCTACGCAGTCTCCGCCCTAATGGCAGCAGGTTGAAGAAGCAGTGTAGCGGGTGGTCAAGATCTCCCACCCAGCAGAGGGCTTTCCTTCTGAGGCGAGAGCTGTGGAGGTCCTGAAGGCAGGGGAGAGAGGTGCCAATGATCTTCTCAGCTGTCCTCACGATCCGCTGGAGGGATTTGCGGCAGGATGCTGTGCAGGCCCCGTACCACACAGTGGAGCAGCTCATCAGGATGCTCTCGATGGCCCCCCTGTAGAAGGTTGTCATGATGGGGGTGGGGGCTCTCGCTCTTCTCAGCTTGCGGAGGAAGTAGAGCCGTTGGTGAGCCTTTTTGGCCACTGCTGCTGTGTTGATGGTCCAGGAGAGGTCCTCAGAGATGTGCACACCCAAGAACTTGGTGCTGCTCACCCTTTCCACAACAACACTGTTGATGGATAGTGGAGCATGTTTTGTCTGAGTTCTCCTGAAGTCCACAACAATCTCCTTGGTCTTCTCTGTGTTCAGCAAGAGATTGTTGCGTTTGCACCAGGAGACCAGCCGGCTCACCTCGCTCCTGTAGAGTGACTCATCGTTATTGCTGATGAGGCCTACCACAGTCGTGTCGTCCGCAAACTTGATGAAGAGGTTGGAGGGGTGTGATGGAGAGCAGTCGTAGGTTAGTAGAGTGAACAGAAGGGGGCTCAGCACACATCCTTGTGGGGCCCCCGTGTTCAGAGTGATGATGCTGGATGTGTTGCTGCCAACCCGTACTGCCTGTGGTCTTCCGGTAAGGAAGTCAAGCAGCCAGTTGCACAGTGATGTGTTCAGACCCAGACTGTCCAGTTTCCAGATGAGTTGTTGTGGAATGATTGTGTTGAATGCAGAACTGAAGTCGATGAAGAGCATTCTGACATAGGTGTCTTTCTTGTCCAAATGTGTGAGGGCTGAATGAAGAGCAGTGGCGACGGCATCATCAGTCGAGCGGTTTGACCGATATGCAAACTGGTAGGGGTCCAGGGAGGGGGGGAGGGAGGACCTAATGTGTTGCATGACTAGTCGCTCGAAGCACTTCATGAGGATGGAAGTGAGTGCAACCGGGCGGTAGTCGTTGAAGCAGGAGGGAGACGTTTTCTTGGGGACAGGGATTATGGTGGTGGTTTTGAAGCACGTGGGGACCACAGCCTGGCTCAGTGAGGTGTTGAAGATGTTAGAGTACACCTCTGCTAATTCGCCAGCGCAGTCCTTCAGCACGCGAAGGTGAAATTAGAGTCAGGTGTTTTCAATCAGTGGTAACTGATCAACAGTTACCAGAAACATTGAGTTGCAGTTATTGCTGCACAGGGGCTGTCACATCAGATCCTAAAAGCAAAGGTTCACATACTTTTATCACTCACAAACATGTAATATTGGATTATTTTCCTCAATGAATAAATGACCAAGTAAAATATTTTGTTTCATTTGTTTAACTGGGTTCTCTTTATCTACTTTTAGGACTTGTGCCAAAATCTAATGATGTTTTAGTTCATATTTATGTAGAAATATGGAAAATTATAAAGACTTCACAAACTTTCAAGCACCACTGTAAATGTGCAATGATTCCGTTCTGCTAATTTCATTAAAATGTGTGCAGTGGTTCACGAGATATCTTGGTACCAGACACATGCGCTCACACACCCAAAGATAGGCAAAAGCATTATTGTTCGCTGTTACCTTCCAGGGGTGGGTGATATTCAGTTTACAGAAGAGAAGCAAGACGTTTGTAGACATATTTGATAGTTTACCTTGTGTTTTTCTTCTGCGGCGACCCTATTCCGCTGTGGCCCGGAGGACTTGCATATCGTGCTGTGAGACTGTGAACAGAGCAGAAGATGAGAAGCGTCAGCTGGCAAAATTTTTCTAAAATCATGACCGAGTGTAATAATATGAGTGAACACAGGCAGACAAAAAACGAATGAGAGCCAGGTGAAAGAAAACAAGAAGCATGTGGTAAATCCCGTAGCATGCCAGGGCACATATCTTTGATTCTTCCCCATGATGGCTCACACATGTTTGAAACCACAAGCGTATGACTTAGCCAATAAGTCCATTTATAACATGGCCAGAAAAACTTTCACAAAGTCTTTTGTGGTGGCATTGCTTGAAGAAAACCCCAAAACACACAACCCACGAGGCAGATTTGAAGGAAATGCCCACGGGACGAGCGTCGTCACAGTGAGTCAGAAATGGGAATTACTTTGAAGATGGCTGTTCATGTTTACACTAATAAAGCCTTTTCCAAAAGTATTTTAATACATCCTGTAAACAATGATGTGTCAGAAGTGTCAACTATGACTCACAAAGACGTTACTTAGTTTATCTTGGGTGTCGTTTAATTTGGGGAACTGCCTCTTAAAAGGCCAAATTAAAGCTGGTCTACATTTTGTAACCTTTTCACTCACTTAACAGTAAAGTTTCAACAAAGATTCCCTTCCAAATGGCTAATGGCCCCGCTATTCTCTGCATGACCCACACAACCTATTAGTACGTGGCTGGATTGGGAAAAATCGAGACATCCTCCCTCAGTGTAAAGGCCGTATGCCTTCACCGCCTACTATTATTACTGCAATACACATAATTGCAACATGTATTTGGCCACACCTTGGCACTATTTTCCTCAAATCAAGTTAGGATGGAGGAATGCACTGGATAGTCATGCCGACACGATGCTATGCCAGGGATATCATGACTATGCTAGGTTGTTTGTCTCCCATCATTGAGTGATAAGGGGGAATTGGAAATTTATTTATTTGTTTGTTAACTTTCATTTAATCAGGCAAATCCCATTGGGATCACAGATCTCTTTTGCAAGGGAGGCCTGAGCTTGAAGGCAGTCTAAACATGTTTGGACTGTGGGAAGAAACTGGAGTACCTGGAGAAAACCCACACAAACAAGAGAACATGCAAACTCCACACAGAAAGACCATGGGTCCCAACCAGCTGCTCAACCCAGGACCTTCTTACTGTGAAGCAAAGGTGCTGTTGTTTCCATGACTTTTTAACAATCTGTGCAATAGTTATTTATAACACTGCACTAAACATGCTTATTACCACGTGAATTTTTCCATATTTTATTAATGATACAAGCACAAATTTTATATTTGACAGGGATTTTATGCGGTAGACCAACACAAAATAGGACTTAGTTGTGAAGTGAAAGAAAAATATGATACACAGTTTTCAAAAATCTTTTCACAAGTAATAGTCTCAAAGTCGCCCTGTGATGGACTGGAGACCAGTCCAGGGTGTACCCCATCTATTGCATAGTTATGGCTGGACATGGGCCCCAACGACTCGAAAAGGAAGAAGCGGGTAAAGATAAAGGATGGATGGCTGGGTAGTCTCAAAGTCTAACAAGGTTAAGTCAGGTCCTCAGTTGGACTGAAGAAGTCTTTTCGATAAAAGACGAAACGTTTCAACAAAGAGGAATCCATCCAGAGGATCTGACTTAACCTTATTATATTTACTTTAGCTACCCGGATCATTGAGCATGCATCAGGACAATAGTCTCAAACGCTTAGTGCACATTTGTTTTTAGCCACAATGACTTTGCAGAAACTTTCGCATCAATTCCAGCTGTAAGTGTTTTATGATTTGTCTCTACAAGCTTAGAGAGTAAAACCTTTGCTCATTCTTTGTAAAATAGCTTAAGCTCACTCAGACTGGATGGAGAGTGTCTGAATGGAATTGTTCAGGTCTTGCCACAAATTCTCAGTGGTATTTATCTCTGGACTTTGACAGGTTCATTTTAATACTTTATTGTACACTAATCTAGCCCAGTCCATTGTAGCTCTGGATGTATGTTTTGGGTCTGTGTCCTGCTGGAAGGCGAACCTCGACTTAAGTCTCAAGTCTTTTGCAGCCTCCATCAGGTTAGGTTGTCCTGTATTCAGCCCCATCCATCCTACCATCAACTCAACTTTATCAGTCCCTGCTGTCCCAGCAATCCCACAAAACAATTTAGCCAGTTTCACAGTTTGATCTCAGACTTACAAGATGGAATTGATGGCAGAGGTCACAAATTTATATTGCGTTTTTGCAAGTCATTTTCAATCTAGGTATTTTTAGGATATTCCATCTTTTTCATTCATCCATCTCCTGCTTATCTACACCCAGGCTAGGTCCGTAGTGAATTACCTTAGGCAGAGATCCTCAGACCTCATCTCCTCAGCTACCTTCCCCAGTTCGTTCATGGAAGTCCCAAGACATTCAGACCAGTTGTGAGATGCAATCTCTACACAAAGTCCTGGGTTCACCCCAAGGTCTCCTTCTAGTGGAACACGTTGGAAACATTTTTCTTGAAGGATTCCAAAAGGCATCTTTACCAGAAACCTAAATCACCTCAACTGGCTCCTTTCATGGGCGACTGTGGCTGAGTGGTTAGAGCAGTCATCCTCCAATGCAAGAGCTGGGGGTTCGATTCCACTAGCAGTCACATGCCTAAGTGTCCCTGGGCAAGACAATGAACCCCTCATTGCCTCAGATGTGTGTCCCATCAGTGTATGAATGTGATAAAGCTCTGATTATTCTTTGTACAGATCTAGTCCAAATAGCAGAACTTCTCTCCTAAAGGTGAACCCAGCCACTCAGGAGGAAGCTCACGTCAGCTGCTTGTATTCACGATCTCATGCCTTTAGTCATTTTACTCAAAGCTAATGACCACAAGTGACAGAACACAGATTGACTTGTATATTTGAGTAAATCAATTTAAAAAAATCATTCCATACATAAACATGAATTAACCTACTTGTAAAATACAGAAATAAACATCTATAGACAAGTTACCAACAACTGTGATGGGTTTGTGATCTGATTTGTCCTAAGGAACTATCCTAGCACCATGCCACTTCATGATTTGTATGACAACAGATACCAATTCAATGAAATAGACGACTTTAGGTCATTATTAATAAAAAAAAATACTTAATTCCAAATGTGCACATTTGCAATTTAAACAAGCAGTACACTGATTTCCCTGTCACTGATGGATTTGAATGGTGGATGTTTGTAACTTTTATCCGTGACAAAACACAGAGGTGGAGCCAAGAGATGGCCAATGGTGGCCTTTGCCACCGAAGATTAATTTTTAGCCACCCCAGTTATTTGAGGAAACTTTACTTTTAAACAATATAAAAACTAGAAAGCACAGCCGGTTTACATCAATATATATCATAACAGCCATAAATATTTTGGTTTTTATTGTGAAGTACACCTTTTATCAAATAAGCTTTAAAGAAAGCATAACGTGTCACAATTCTCACTCATATAACATTAAAGAGGTCAGTAAAGAGCTCATATTATTCCATGAACAAACTTTACTTAAAAATAATACTAATATAAAAGATTATTTACTAACCCATGTCAAATAACAACATTATTAATTCAAAACATTAAGGAATTTACCAGTTCATGCTGCCAGTGACACTAGTCCATCCTCCCAAACGTAACAAAAATCCAAACCCTGACACTCAGAGACACTCAGCACAAACTATAACTACCTATGAGACGTGTCGGTCTTAGCCGGGCTGTTTGCCCTCCCATATGGCAAACGGCTCTTCCTGTCGCGAGACATGGCCGTGGGTAGGCGTGAGGAGCGCCATAACTTAGGGTCAACTTGTTCGCCCCGGGACATGATGAATTAAAGAGGGAGGGTTTGCTGTGCACTGGCAGGCCTGGTCCCCCCTGCCTTGTAGAGCACTGAAAACCTCCAAACGGTCATGAACTGTCCAATGGGGAGTTCCCCTCTGACACACACACATCCCATCCACTGCCCTGGAGACACCAGTTAAGTGAGCAGGTGCCGTCTATAGAAAGCTTCCCATACCACCACTGGACATGTGGAGCATGCTAAATGTGCGTGTCATTTGTCATCATCATTTGACTGGTTCAAATTCTTTTTCAATGTTACAATTTTTTCCTGGTTGGACTTGCATTTTTTTATTTTTTCAGAAATGCTGAATCTTCCAGATTGATTGGTGGTAAAACATACAAACCAGCTGTCCTTTTTTTAAATTTTTTTTTTTTACAAATAAAAAACAACTTCCTGCTCCTGATGATGTGCTTGTTGTAGTTGTGGCTTTCCAATGTCAGCTACAAGGCCAGTTCATCTGTTCCTACACAGGGATATCACAACATGTCAGTATAGTGTAGCTAACATTTTTCTCCCATTTCCTGGTTTCTATATCAAGTTTAATGTAAGCTTATCTGATCATTATAAATTTCATTTGAATTGAGTTCATTCTGTTGTATATTTTTAAGTAGTACTGAAGATTTTGGTCTCTTTGCCCATATTGTCTGACGTTTAAGTTATTTCCAGTCTTTTGGCCTGGTCAGTTTCAGAGGACTGAGTGATTTTGTTTGTCTGAAACGTTTCTTTTACTTAACATGACTGATACAGGCAAACTTTCATCCTGCTGACTTCTTCTTTTGATCTTTATCTAAATTAAAAATGAAATTAAAATGTACGTGACAAGCTGCTAGTTCCAGTGTCTTGATGCCATGAAAAGTTTTATTTGCTAAGTTTTCTGTAAAAAAAAAAAAAACTTAGCTGCCCTGGTATGCTTGGAGGATACTGACCCAGAATTGACCAAAATGAACAAATATAAAGTAAAATGTCTCTTGAAAATTATCAAATAGAAGCGCTAGACACAAATTAAGGAAAAATCAGCCAAAATCAGAGACAGACATTCAAAGAATGTTCTATCCATCCATCCATCCCATCCCATCCATCCATCCATCCCATCCATCCCATCCATCCATCCATCCATCCATCCATCCATCCATCCATCCATCCATGCATGCACCCATCCATCCA